GGCGAGGGCACAGCCAGGGATCCAACGAGATGTGCCAGGATAAATCTGCTCCTGTGAACTCCGCAGTGAGCAGAGCAGGACGGTGGGGAGGGAGGTGGGGGCGGCACCAGCTGACGGCTTCTCCCCTCCATTGCCAGCTCCTGGGTGACATCCTCCTTGTTGTCTTGGCTGCCAACTATGGCAAGGATTTCACCCCTGCCTGCCAGGCTGCCTGGCAGAAGATGGTCCGTGTGGTGGCCCATGCACTGGCCCATGAGTACCACTGAGYGTCCTGGGAGCCTCCTGCCCAGAGACATTGCCGGGAATCCTCGGGCTCTGCAGGACTCTGATCTCCAAATAAACACCAACTTCTCCAGCTACGAGGAGATGTCGTGTTCTTTGTGGGAAAAGGGCGGGGGGGGACATGGGGGGCTGGGGAAGAGGGTGCTCACTAACATGGGATAACGTGAGCCATGATCTTGTTCATGCAAATGGAACTTGCCTAAGGTGGAGGGCTCAGGAAAGTGTTCAGGACAAACCCCAAAAAAACACAACAAAATACAAACACAAACACTCTGGTACTTTTTGGAGACATCAGGTAATATTGTTTGRTTTGATGTTTTAAGTCTTTCACACAGTACGTGGTGCAGAACTGCACAAAAATGTGTGGTTGCAGGAGTGACAGACAGATTGGGAAGGGACCATCACCTGTAACTTCCTGCATGTGGGGTTTTGCTGGTTTGGGTTTTTTTTTTAAATCATTGTCATTCTTAGGTTAACAAAGGCAGAATGTAACAGACACAACCATCAAGACTTGGTTGGATGGGGCTTGGAATGGACCTGAGACAGTGGAAAGTGTCCCTGCTCATGGCACGGGATGGGACTKGATGAKATTTAAGGTCCCTTCAARCCCAAACCAGTGTGGGATTCTGTGATTCCATGAAACACCACCGTGTTGATTGTGGAGGGCTGGGGAGCAGCGTCACCCCCCAGGCCTGGCCAGGCCTCCTGCAGTGAGCAGGAACAAACACAAACATTTTGCACCAAGGTCACCCAGACCCCTCCCTGATCATTCCTGTGCCCCATGAGCTCCATCTCTGTCCCCACTGCCTGTGTTCCATCCCACCACCTTCAGCTGCAGAAGAGCAGCCCCAGGAGACCCAGTTTCCTCTCCCACCTCTCAGGAGCACCACTGATCATGTGGCTGCTGAATCCCTGGGTCAGGCACTGTCTYGGGCTGCACATCCCTGCAGATGTTTTTGTTTCCTCAYGGAAAGGGTGCTCAGGCCTTGGCAGGGGCTGCCCAGGGAGCTTTGGAGTCCCCATCCCTGGAGGYGTCCCAGGAAGGGCTGGAGGTGGCACTGAGTGCTCTGGGCTGGGGACAAGGTGGGCATCGGGCACAGCTGGCACTCCATGGGCWGGGAGGGCTTTTTCTCACAGGATCCTGTGAGATCCCAGTGTGCCCAGTCTTCCCACCTTTCCTGGTGCCCTGTGAGTCATCACCCTACACACAGTTGGTTTCTCCTGGGTCACAGCATCTTCCCTCCAGCCTTGCCTGACCTTTGCCAAGAGGTTCTCTGAGAAGGAATCCCTCTCGGTGCAAGGCCTTGCCATGGTTTTAGCAGTGTCATCCTGAAGTTACCAAATTCTCTAAGAGCTGATGGGAAAGAACAGGGAGAACCCAAAGCCTGACAGGTCSTGCAAGAGAGTGAAGGAGAAACTGGTGCATTCAGAGGAGAGGGGGAATGCAAAAGCCCCGAGCCCGAGTGTTGTGCCTCGGGGTTGGCACCATGCAAGGGGCAGCAGGYCTGGCACCTGCCCTGCTGCAGAGCKTGCAYGGGGCCATGCTGGGGCTTTGCACACAGATAATGCCACCCTTCAGCAGGGCTGGAAATCAGAGACGGGGCAGGAGGGAGGCCAGCCCAGCCCGGGGCTGGGTCTGGGCACTCTGCCCCAGGGCCCCACCCTGGTGCYGGGGCTGCGGGGCCCCCGGGCGCAGCCAATGGAGGGGTGCTCAGGGAGGAGGAGGRGCCTGAGCAGGGTATAAAGGGGGACGGGGACAGCGGTGTCCCAGCSTGCGATCCTCCGGGAGCAAGAGCCCAGACCTCTCCGAACCTGCCACACGCAACCCTCCTGCCGACACCATGGTGCAGTGGACAGCCGAGGAGAAGGCTCTCATCACCGGCCTCTGGGGCAAAGTCAACGTGGCCGAGTGCGGCGCTGAGGCMCTGGCCAGGTAGGTCCAGCTCYGGGAACTGCCCGGCTGCACCGGGAGASACAAACCACTGCAGTCACCAGAGCGTCAATGTGACTGTCATCTCTCCCCAGGCTGCTGATCGTCTACCCCTGGACCCAGAGGTTCTTCGCCTCCTTCGGGAACCTGTCCAGCCCCACTGCCATCCTCGGCAACCCCAAGGTGCAGGCCCATGGCAAGAAGGTGCTGACCTCCTTCGGAGATGCCGTCAAGAACCTGGACAGCATCAAGAACACCTTTTCCCAGCTGTCCGAGCTGCACTGTGACAAGCTGCACGTGGACCCCGAGAACTTCAGGGTGAGCTGTGCTCCTGCCTTGCCCTTCCCTGGGCAGTGTCTCCCTTTACCCTGATCCCCACCAGGAGAGGGGTTTACTCCAGGACAGTGTGGGAGGAAGAGGGGCTGGTGGCTGGCATGAGGGACAAAGAGGGAAGGGGCCAAGTGCAGCCTGGTGGGAAGGCACTGCACAGGCTGCGAGATGACAGGGGCTGTGGAGGGGGCAGGGGAGGGCRGGCAGGGACAGGAAGGGGACAGGAAGGGGAGGACATGGTTTCAGTGTGGGAAGGGAGAGGGAGAACAAAGTGAAAGCAGTTGTTGAGCAGGAAGAGGTTTGAGCCAGGGAGGATGAGAAGGAGCAAGAGCAAAGCTTGGCATGAAGGAGAACGGAGAGACGTGTGAGGAGCAGGAGATTGTGGCTGGATGCCAAAAGCAAAAGAGGATCTACAGGGAGAAAACTTCGGCTGCTTTATTTCTGCAGCTGAGAGCATCTCAGTAGGGAATTAACCCCGACATTTGTCCCCGGGGCTGGCAGAGATCCCCCTATGTCAGCACGAGCTCAGTGCTGATGCCAGGGCACTCTGCYGACTCCTGCTGCGCTGGGAGATCGGCTGGGTCTTCTGCTTGGGAGAAACTCCAAAATGAAACCAGAGGGGACAAAGGAAAATTGGATCCCATACCCTTCCCGTATGGTAGCAAGACCAGAACCTTTGGAGTAAGAGCAGAGACMAAGTTGAAAGTGCATCTTAAAAAGGACTTGGTGGAGGTTTTTAAGAGTACGGATTTCCTGGAGGCTTCCCTGTGTGCAATGTGAGTGCTTGTTGGGGATGCACAGGGCACTGCTAACCTGCGGGTGCTCTTGTCCCCACAGCTCCTGGGTGACATCCTGATCATCGTCCTGGCCGCCCACTTTGGCAAGGATTTCTCTCCCGACTGCCAGGCCGCCTGGCAGAAGCTGGTGCGTGTGGTTGCCCACGCTCTGGCCCGCAAATACCACTAAAGAGCCGCAGGAGCGCCCGGCGTGGCCTYGGTGTCTGCACCCGCTGCTGCACCGGGGCCAACAGCTTCCAACAGCCAAATAAAGCTCATCCTGTGAAGTCTCCACTGCGTCTGTGCATCCCTGAGGGGCTGGAGGGCTCGGGGGGATGGGGGGCTGGGTTGTCAGCTTCAGCAGGACCCTAAAATACCCTCTGCCTTTGTTCTTGGTGGTTTGGTGGTTTGTGTGGGGTTTGCCTCTGGAAATTGTGCTTTCAGGATACTGGGTTGACACAATCCTGTCAGCCCTGTGGTCACACACGGGGGACTTTGCATAGAGGAACTACTCAGAATTTTACTGTGAAACTTGCATGTCTCTCCTAGACAAGGGAAATTGAGAGAATTCATATTTTTCTGGGGAGAGGATAAACAAATTGAAGACTTTAATCTATCCTGGCTCATCCCTGGCATAAAACCTATCCGAAATCAGCTGAGTCACGCAGGCCCAGCAGCCAGCTGGGTGGGGGCAGGTTTTAGATAAACATTTTGCTATCAAGGCCTGTCCAGACTTTGTTTATTCACATCTCTCCCCCGCTGTGCCACCCACTCTGCAATTTGGGGTGGGCACGATTCTGCCAAGAGCAGCGACTTAATAATTTCCTGGATGCGAGTTTTGGGTGGGTTTAGGTGTCTGCAGAGCAGGACACTTTTGGGTAGGGTTTGTTCTTGGCATGGGAACACATCTGAACAGAGTATGACGCAGCAACAGGGATGCTTGGCTGAAAGGATGTGCTCTTTTCTGAGGGAAAAAAACTGGGCAAAATTATTTATCCCAGGATTTCTGACACCCAGTTTGCCCTGTGCTCTRTCCCTGCCTCACCCACATCTCTGGACAGTCCTCTCTGCTCCTGACCCATGGGAATGTGCCACTCCCCCTGTGACCCATGAATGCCCTTTTTCACTCACGTCACCCAAAGAGAAAGGCATTCTGTTCATGACATCGAGGTACACACTGAGAAGGGAGAAGATGATTTGCAGCAAGTCCCAAAGGGTTTTTCACCCTGCAGGGAGACTGAGCAGGCACAGGGTCACCAAACCCCCTCAGAACTGTACATGACTTTTCATAGGTTTTGTCACAGATATGAATAGTTTCCTATGAACATGACTGCTCACAGACTTCAGGCAGAAATGACTGAACTGTTTGAATGAGGAGGTGTCCTGCAGCTGAGGTGTCTGGGGGAGGAAGGACAACACAGCTGGAGAGGGACGGGGACAAGGGCTGGAGGGACAGGAGCCAGGGAATGGCTTCCCAGTGCCAGAGGGCAGGGCCAGATGGGATATTGGGCAGGAATTGTTCCCTGGGAGGGTGGGCAGGCCCTGGCACAGGGTGCCCAGAGAAGCTGTGGCTGCCCCTGGATCCCTTTGAGTGCCCAAGGCCAGGCTGGACATTGGGGCTGGGAGCAGCCTGGGWCAGTGGGAGGTGTCCCTGCCATGGCAGRGGTGGCACTGGRTRGGCTTTGAGGTSCCTCCAATCCATTCCATGACCCCATAACCGGAGCTGACCTGCAGGGTTCCAGCACTCCCTGCGCCTGGTGACACACGGTAGGAAGGAACAGCCCTTCCTGGTGCTGTCTGGTGGCTTCACTCCATCTCCACTCCCAGCTCAGGGTGACACCCTGCTGCAGGAGCCCCCAGCACACAGATCCTGTGGGATGTCGCCTCTCCATGCTGCTTTTCCTGCTCCCRTTCCATGGTGTCAGAACATCCCTGTGGCTGCCAGCACTGGGAGCACCCAGGTCCTGGGGGGCACATGAGGGTGGGCACTGGTGGCAGCCTGGCAGCCTTTTCCCTGCATATTCTCACTCCCTGCTTGTGCCAGGCTGACCTCAACTGGATTATCATCACTGTCCAGCCCCCAGCTGTGGGGACTAGATTTTCTGGAGAAAAGGCAAATATAGGCAAATCTAATGAAAATTAATCATCCCTATTCCATACAGAAAAGTCTGCAACTAGAGTGGGAAACATATATTATCAGGCTGGAGATCTCTCTTGCTCTTTTCTTTCTTTTGATTGCTTTCCCTGCCATATTTTCAGTGCAAAAGACATGCAGCAGGAGATGGTCCCTGGAGGAAATGTCAGTGTCCAAGACATTGCTCTGCTGCAGCCTGGACAGCCCCTCACCTGTTCCCAGTCTGTCAGAACCCAGSAGCTCTTCCTTAGCCCAGCCCAAACCTTCTGGCAAAGAATAGGAAAACAGTGCATTGCCCTGGAACCCTGAGATCAGGATCAAAMCCCCTGTGCTGATTTCAGCAAGGACGGTGTGTCTTGGGCCTTTATACAGAAACTAAAAGAGGAAATCTCCCAGGGCATTGCTCCTGGTGAGGGTGCTTCACCCCTGGTGTGCTMCAGGGTGTGTCAGGAGAATCCAAACATCTCCAGGAGAGCCAGTCCTGGCTAAATTTGGCAGGGGGAATKTGGAATTCGACAGGTTCAGAAGGGGAAGGCCCTGCACTCCCCCACAAGCTGCACATGCCTGAGCTGAGCTTTTGTTGTTTTATAGCCCATGGCAGAAGCTGCAGAAACAAACCTCGTGTTYCAAGCCCATTTCACCTGCTCCTTATGAATGTGGCTGAAAGCAGGAATGGGCTGAACCTGTTTGGCCCTTGCTCCCTGCCCACAGCACTGCACCAGGCTGGTCTTGCCACATCTGGGGAGGGGACAACATCTGGGTGCACCTCACATGGAAGGACTGAGCTTTAAGGTCCTTCCAACCCAAACCATTCTGAGATTCTGGCTCAGAATATCTTGAATTGGAAAGGACCAACAAGGATCATTGAAGTCCAGCTCCAAAGCTGGACTCCGAAGCCCAGCTATGATTCATCCTGCTCCAAAGGGCACAAATAAATCCAGCAGGTCAAGTTCTGTTATGGGAGGAGGACAGTGGGGTTAATGTAGATTTTGGCTGCAGAGCCTGAGCATCCTCTGAGCAGCTCTGGCACAGCTCCAGGAGCTTCAAGGAGCCCCAAGTCCTCGGGCAGGGCAGTTGCTGGTGGCAATTCCCTCTGGGTGACTGTGCCTCAGGATTTTGGCCCCAACATTCAACACAGCGCTGATGCCCGGCAGAGCCCAGTGTTTGAAGAGCTGAGGCACGAGGCTCACAGGCTCACAGCATCACAGCCACAGCCCTGAGCCCCTGCCCACGGTCACTGGTGSGGGACATTGCTGGGGGTCCTGCAGCCCTTCCTCTGCAGAGGGCCCAGGCTGGAGGGTGAAAGAGCTGCTCTCACAGGGGGAAGGGATAAAGCTCTGCAGCTCRGGATAACCAGAGGCTCCTTGTGAGGGTGCCACACCCTGGCCATCCCCTCCTGCTCCCCCGCTGTCYGCTGGGGACCCCCGCCTGTCCRGCCAATGGCCCCACTGGCCGTGCCGGGGAGGGGCTGCACTCAGGGGATAAAAGCCCCGGCGGGCTCTGGGCTCAGCTACAGGGTCGGTGTCCTCTCAGAGCCCAGCAAAGCCGCCACCATGGTGCACTGGTCAGCCGAGGAGAAGCAGCTCATCGCCAGCGTCTGGGCCAAGGTCAACGTGGAGGAATGCGGCGCCGAGGCCCTGGCCAGGTGGGTCCAGCTCCGGCTGCAGCGCACAGGGAAAGCACTGCAGCCACCGCAGCGCTGACGTGTCTGTGTGTGTCRTGTCTCTGCCCAGGCTGCTGATTGTCTACCCCTGGACCCAGAGGTTCTTTGACAACTTCGGGAACCTGTCCAGCCCCACGGCCATCATCGGCAACCCCAAGGTCCGTGCCCATGGCAAGAAGGTGCTSACCTCCTTCGGGGAAGCCATCAAGAACCTGGACAACATCAAGGCCACCTACTCCAAGCTGTCCGAGCTGCACTGTGAGAAACTGCACGTGGACCCCGAGAACTTCAGGGTGAGCCGTGTTTGCAGCCCCAACCCTTCCCTGGGCTGTGTGGAGAGATTCAGACTTTGCTCTGCYCAGGGACATTTTCTTGGGCTGGAGGGGGAAAGGTCCCTGTGTAATACCCAAGAGAGGTGGTGTGTTGTACAAAGGTGTTTGCAACAGTGTGTGTGACTTGCTCCCTAAATGTCCCATTTTTAGTGCCAGCACAGCTCCAGGGATGGGAAGGCCTGGAGCGATGGTTACCTGGAGGGGAGCTGGTGGGGAATGGCCCCAGGGGAAGGTGCAGCCTGGGCTGAACGAGTCAGAGCAGAGGGAAGCTCAGCAGATTCCAGGATACCCAAGCTCCTATGGCAAGATAAGCAGAACCAAGGAGCAGAGTCCTGCTTTGCCCAGCACAGGGGGTGGGACACTCCCCCCTTCTCCAATATTTTTAATTAAAAATGGATCATTCCCTTCATTTATATCCAAAGGCAAAAAGAAAAAAAATAAGTGTTTTTCAGGGTGGGTCTCAGGCCAAATCCAAATGCTTTAGCAAAAATGGGAACATAGTTCAAGGTTCTTTCTTTCTGGTTTAATTTTAATTTTTGAACAAATATTGTTTTCCCAAGACCCAAAGCTTTCTATGCAAAGACTGAGTATTCTGTTGTTGCAGGGAAGAGGCAGTGGGCTGTGCCTGTAAGCAGGGGCTGAGGAGGAAAAGGAGGAGGAGTGTGCAGTGTGTGAGAGTCCTTTCAGGGGGGCAATTCCACCTCATGAGAAGTCAGGGGAAGGAAACTTGTGGGTTGCAGGCGGTGTCTGGGGGGGACAAGAAGGAGAGGGACTGGGGACGGGGAAAATCTGCAGCAGAAAAACCAGGGAGCCACAAAGGAGAAGCTGCTTGGAACCAAAGGCACGGCAGGATGCAGGAGAGTCCGGGACAGCAGAGCCTTTGTGGCAGCTCAGCCCCAGCCAGGACATCCCCAGCTCCCTGCTCRGCTCTGACTGACCAATAGCCCCAGCAGCACTGACCCTGCCTGTCATCCTTTCTCCTCCAGCTCCTTGGAGACATCCTCGTCATCGTTCTGGCTTCCCACTTCGGCAGGGAATTCACCCCTGCATGCCAGTTCGCCTGGCAGAAGCTGGTGGGGGTGGTGGCTCACGCTCTGGCCCGCAARTACCACTGAGCATGGGGCACAGAGCCCCGGRCCAGGGCAGCCCCCTGAGCACGGGGAGCTGCCCTCTGGGAACCCCTGAGCACAAAATAAACCCCTCCATCTGCTCATTTGTGGTGTGTCTGTGTGTCTGTGCTGGGAGAGACAGGCGAGCTGCCCTGGGAGTGCAGTGCTGTGGTGTGTGGGTGATTCCCAGTCTCCAGAGATCCCCTAACCCTGCAGGGCTCTCTCATGGGGGTGATTCCCAGTCTCCAGAGATCCCCTAACCCTAACCCTGCAGGGCTCTCTCAGGTGTGATCGCTGCCAGGGCAGGGGCTGGCACAGGAACTCGAGGGGGCTGGCACCCGGGAGGGTCATGGGAACAGTGAGGGGCTGCAAAGAGACCCATGGAAGCACAGAATACCCTCAGTGGGATGGGACCCACAAGAATMATCGGGTCCAACTCCTGGCTGTGCACAGGACAACCCCAAAATCCCACCACGAGCCTGAGAGCAKTGTCCAAATCTCTTCTCCCAGCTCTGCAGTGCTGTGGGGTGGGGTGAAGCCAGCAGTGTCCAGAGCACAGAATTCCCCAATCCAGGTGCTGGAACATGCTGTGCCCATCCCTGGGCCTGAGGATGCTCCCTGTGGGAGCCCYCGACCCAGGAGAAAGCCTTTGAACTCACACCCTAGGAGCTTCAGAAGACATTGAAGAGGGACTGGGGACAAGGGATGGAGGGACAGGAGCCAGGGAATGGCTTCCCAGTGCCAGAGGGCAGGGCCAGATGGGATATTGAACAGGAATTGTTCCCTGGGAGGGTGGGCAGGCCCTGGCACAGGGTGCCCAGAGAAGCTGTGGCTGCTGCTGGATCCCTTTGAGTGCCCAAGGCCAGGCTGGACATTGGGGCTGGGAGCAGCCTGGGACAGTGGGMGGTGTCCCTGCCATGGCAGGKGTGGCACTGGATGGGCTTTGAGGTCCCTTCCCACCCAAACCAATGCATGAGTTTTTCCTGGCTCCAGGAGGAGCGGTGCCAGCTCCCAGCAGTGGAGGAATCACAAGCACAGATCACTGCTGTGATTTCTGTAATTTAGCATGATTTCCCAATGCCTTTTCCTACCCATTTTTCCAAAGGGCAATCCTCCTCCCCTGAAATCTGCTCAGTCATTACTCTCTGCTCTTGCTGTGGAACGATCCCTTTCTTTCTTTCCCAAGCAGCACCATGTGCAGCTCATTCATCAAAGTTTTGTGATGCCATGAGAGAGGAGAACAATCCATCATCCTGCTGGGGTGAACTTCCCACCATTCCAGACCTGCATTATGCAATTCAGAGGGATTCAGGGGTTTTCTGTCTTTTCTAAACCAGGCTTGAACGAAATCTGTGCTGATTGCAACTCCCAGCATCTTTTAAGGAATTCTTATTCAAATGTTAGTCAGGAGCAGGGGAASCAGGGGACTATCAGGTGTAATTATTTTTATATGGCCTTATCCCCACACTTAACAAAATTGCAGAAGCAGAAAAAAAATCCCCAGTTCACTTCTTAGCACCAGCCAAAAATACTCTTTAAGCAGCTCTGTGCTGCCCCTGCCAGGGTTATTTATCATGTATTTATAGGCACAATTTTACACCTCTTGAGGGAATTTTGTCGGGAGCAGCAGCGTCATGGAGCATTTCAGGAGCCCGAGCTGGTGGAGTTGGAATGCAATCACAACAWCAGCTGCCCCTGGGACGTGTCTGCCCTGTTTGACACTGCTGGAAGGGGCAGGACTGACAGTGGGCTTGCTCTGATGTTTAAAAGATGCTTCATCGCTTTTGAGAGGTAAAWAAAGATGTTTTTTTCTCCAGGACCCAGAGTGCAAGTTTCTGACTTGCCCAATGAATCCGTGCTCCTGCAGCGACTGTTTCTGGCAGTTTTTGGTGCCGTGTGTTGTGTCACAGAGATATTGGACAGAAAATCTCTCTGCCAGTGGCACAAAAAGATCTTTGCAGATTTTCTAGGATGGGCTTAATCCATTTGGCCAAAGCAACAAGTGATTGGGACAGGACGGGACRGGACAGGACGGGACAGGATGGGACAGACCCTCCTGACTCTCTTCCACAAGCCCCTGTGCAAGGGCTGGCTGGGAAAAGGATCACAACTTTTTCCTGTGTCACTACCACAATCTAATACCATGGCAACTGCAGCAGTGCTGCAAAGCCCCTCAGAAATAGCATGTGGATGTTAAAAGGTTTTTGATCCCTCGGTGACTTTGGAGAAAGGAAGGTTGGAAACCCCAGAGGGACTTGTCAAAGCTGATCTGCCTCATCTTTCCTTTGTTTCGCCCCCTTGCCTCCTCCCCGCTCTGTCAGTGCCCTTCCAGCCCAAATTYTCTGCAGCAGAGAACCAGACACGTGCAGGAATCACATTTCTGAGCAGATGATGAGTTCATCTTTCCTACCCCAAAGCATTGCCTCAAGTGCAGGAGTTCTCGCTACCTGGCACAATGTGGCCTCAGAGACCAAACCATTCTGCTGTTTGACTGTGTTGGCAGTGTTGTTATCGTGTCTCCCTCAATCGTTCTTTGCCCAGGTCAGCTGAGGGCTGCTGTACACACAGCTCACTCTGCTCCTTCCTCTCCCCAGCCTTTTCCCAGTCCTCTCACCTCAAAGTTTTGCCCTGAGAAAACTTGAATCTTGTCAAGCACATGGAGAAGGGAGTGTGAAGCTTTTCCACGGAAAGACTGACCAGAATCTCAGMATCACTGAGGTTGGAAAAGCCCTCCAAGATCACAGAGTGCAGCCTGTGATGGATCCCCACCCGGCCAGCTGTGCTGAGCATGTCTGGAGATGATGAACCAGTTCCTCTGGGCTGCCTGGGAGCCTGGCAGATGGTGCTGGAAGCACAACCCAGCAGGGATGGTGGTGTCCACAGGATCTTCCATCGGGGCAGGAGCTGAGCACTCTGGGGAGGGCACAGCAGCACCTGGGCTGTAGGGATTCATCCTGTCCCTTTGGGCCTCACGAGGACACAGACACAGGGCAGGGGAGGAGCAGGTGAGGAACATTGGGGAGGAGCAGGTGAGGAACATGTGTCCAGCTGTGCAGTAATCCAGGTGAACACTCCACAGAGGGGCACGGGGACAGGATGCCACCCTCCAGAGCAGCCCCACGGGTGGAGGATGTGACTCGTTCCAGTTCTTACCCACATTGACCAAGASCAGAACACTGGGTGGTGCCCAGAGTGAACAAATCCATCTGTTTATTTTTGTGGGATGCTGCAGAGGATGAGGATGCRGTGCACGTCTGAGTGTGCACACCCAGATTCCAACACTGCAATCTGCATTTTCATGTTGAAGGCTATTAGAGCATGCTGGAATGAGGTCTGCTAATTTACCTTATCAAGCTGATTATTGAGCTGCTGAAGCGAAGAGCGGAGGTGCAGATGTCTGGAGCTTTGTCTGAGACATGGGGCARTTGGAAATACACCAATCCCATTTCTCATGGCACGCTGATGAGTTTAGCCCTCAATAAAACAATGCCAAGTTCCCTGTTTGCATAGACGGATTGAGTGTGAATTCCTTGAATGCTGGGGGCTGGAAAAGTTTAACTTCTCCCACATCAGCCCCTAAAAAGAGCAGTGGGCAAGTCAGGGACTCATTAGTGTCAGCTTGAGGGGCACTTTAGAACTTGCTTTTAATTTTTTCCCTCCCAGCCCACAGGCAGCGTGCAGTGTTCAAAGCTCCATCCCTTTAAGCATCTCTCTTCTGTTATGATTTGTATTCCGCAGAGTGCAGCATTTCCCCGAGGAGCCCGTGGGCTGGCGTTGGAAGCCCCGGGCTGACAGTTCTGTAGGAGAGACGAGAGCTGGCTTTGTGCACACGTTGCCTAATTTGACTCACAGCTGTAGCTGCAATAACAACATTCCTGCTAAGAACCACARTTGCTGTGTATTTTACTGATAAATATGGGCTGAAATGCCTGGCACTGGGAGGAGCCAGGGTCATAGCAATGGCAGCAGCAATAGAATAGTGAATAAACTCAGAAATGAAGGGAAACAAAAGGTTCTGGATTTGCCAATGCCTTAGACCTGCAGGAGTGACCTGTGCCCTCAGTGTGGGTGACAGACAAATTCTGGTAATTGCTGCTGTTTCTGTAGCTCCTGGGAGCACAGTTCCACAGTGCCAGGTGCTGCACAGACAYAAAACAGGGAGACAACTGCAGCCTTTTCCCCTTTTCCTTCCACTGAAGGCACAGCTAAGGGGGCAGGTGGGGGACAGGAGGACCAGCAGAATCCTGGAATGGTTTGGGTTGGGAGGGACCTTAAAKCTCCTCATTCCACCCCCCTGCCATGGGCATGCGCATGTTCTGAACTCGTGTGAGTGGCTCCAACTGGAGGGACCCCCACACTCATGGACACCCCAAATCCCTTCGCTAAATGCTTTTGATRAAATCACTTTGTAGGGGGAATGGAGGAAACTGGGATCTTGTTTGCCATCACACTGTCACCAGTGAGTGCATGGAGGGCACGGGGAACTCCCAGAGCTTGCCCAGGACACCCCCAACACAGTCAGAGTCCCAACACCAGCCCCAGAACCCCCAGAGCTTGCCCAGGACCAGCCCCAGCACAGCCCAGAGCCCCCAACACCAGCCCCAGAACTCCCAGAGCTTTCCCAGGACCAGCCCCAACACAGCCCAGAGCACCCTGAGACCCGGTGACACCTGGCTGTGACAGGGCATCGCTGGCATCACAAGTGCCACACAGGTCAGTCTCAGAGAAAGGAGCCTGAGAATCCCTCTTGCCCTCTTACCACTCCTGTTGGGTGTGTGTGTGTGTGTGTGTAACACATCTGCTGATGTGGGAAACCTYGTGAAGATTTGTCAAACCTGCTGGTCAGCCCCAAAACCCTCAGACGGGGAACTGTGCACTCTGTGACTGACTGATGTGATCCTGTGCTGACTGTGCTGCTCCAGGGAGCAAAAGGACAGGAGAGCCACATCCTGGCTGAAGGGGGAAAAGGAAAGCACTGTTTTCTCATACAGAAATTCCACCTCTGCGCTTGGGAGCCRGCAGGGAGCTCACTGATCCTTGCTTTGGCTTTTGCAGGCCTGGCAGCAGAGCGAGAGGAGGATCACCATGCACATACCAGGAGCTTGGACACTGCCAGGTGACTCCTTCATCCGGAGAGCTCAGTGTGCCATCAGCRCTTTATGGAGGAAATTCCTGAATCCCCTTTGTGCAGGTGCTGCAGAGAACATCTCTGCTGGCTGGCAGCCTCCTCCTCATTTCAGATCTATTATTGTCACTATTGTTATTGTTATTATTATTATTATCTTAAATCATTTGCACCTCTATTTTCTTTCTTTCTGTGAATAAATCACAGGCTTGATGATCTTTTCCTTCTCCAAAAATAACCTTGGCAGCAGAGACCTGAGGCAAGTGCCGTTGTGCCAGGCATTTCTGCATCTCAGAGCTGAGCACAGCTGAGAGCCCAGGCAGAGCCGCAGCTTTGCCAAGCACCCAGCAGCTTGTGGGTGCCAAAAAGCAGCGCTGTGAACATCTGCCAGCCCAGGGTGGGAGATTTTGGACTCGGATATCCCTGTATGTGCAAACTCCAGGGCTGTTTTCCAGCATGAATGAAGTCAACAATAACCACATCCCCCTCTCCTGGAGGGGAGAGCTCTGGCAGCTCCCTGTGCTGCTCAGGAACCACTTCTGCATGCTGGGAAGAGGAGATTTCAGTCCTGTTGACCCACCTGGCCAAGCTGAAACACGAGCAAGAATTGTCCTTCCTGACAGGTCTCTGGGCCCTCACCAGAGTGCAAGCCCCTGCTCTGCAGGAAGCAGAATCTCAGCTGGATGYCAGGAGCCATTGATCTCATCATGGCACCTCTGGCACTGCCAAAGGCAGTTTGTGCTGCCCCTGGTCTGCCCTGGGCARATAAACCGTGTGTACAGTGCTCATTGACATGAAAAAAGGGTCTGGGGGCAGCAACGTCTTCATGACATGGGCACCGTCCCCTTCAAAGTGACCATCACTGCACCTGCAGCAGCACTGACAGTGAAAAACAGCCCAGATCACATTGCCTGAAATACAGATATTTGTGCGGCTATTTCTATATCCATCCCCAAATAGGAGCTGCCTGAGCATCTTTCCCCCTGGTGCCGGTGAAAGTGTCCTTGGATCTCCCTCCACGAGGTCCCTCAGGGCTCCCTGGCTCACTCAGTGGTGCTACATTTTTTTTCTGGCTGATYAGCTGTGTCAAAGGGGATGACACAAACATGCTCCTGAGAGTGAATCCCAGTGTCCAGCTGTGGAGTTGCCTTGGGCTGGCACCAGGAGCCAACAAGAGAGTTCAGGCAGGAGGAAACTTTGCTGGGACAACCTCTGTGGRTGCAGGAAGGAGAGATGTGAATGCACC